AACAATGATCGAACCATTTACTCGTCAAATTTAATCCACCAGACCACCATAAACTCCATCAAAAAACAGTGTGTTAATGTCAAGGGAGACAAAGGATAGCTAACAAATATCTGTCCTTTGCATGCATCATAGCCTCCATTAAAATTTAAAAATTATTTATAAATAGAAATAATAAGAGGAATATTGATGAATCCCACGAAATTTGTGAATAAAAATGAATAATGCTTATGAAGATGTGAGTGAAATTTATAAATTGTATCCAAAGGCTTAATAGTTTGCAAAAGAAACAAATATCTCCATGGTTGAATGGTGAGGATCCCAAATTAATCAAAAGTACAATATTTTTATAATTTTCTAAGTATCCTGAATCCATTCCACAAGACAATTGTACCGGAACCAAACATGACATATCCTTATAACAAACATACATGTCAATGCTGTCCTGCCATGCACATCCAGAAATTTCTAGCCTGGTTTCAATCTTTATAATAGTCACGACGACCAAACCATAAGTGCAATGAAGGAAACCAGCTGCTTTCAAGTAAAAGAGACGAGCCTTAAGCACAGGCTTTATTCATTCATTAACTGTTATTAGCATTTCACAACTTAACCAGATCAAACACCACATCCTATAACAATACTAAGAATTATTTAACAATTTCAATCAACACATAATGAATGTAGAAGTTGCAGCAGATGGAATTAAGTAACAATAAATCAGACGATACGCCGATAATTAACTAGTTGGTCGCTGCTACATTTTTCCACTTCTCTGTTGTTGAAATGATGTAAGTAGAAGCTAACTTGTCAATTCCAGGCTGGGCCACATACCGACCTCTATCTTCATCACTAGGCCAAACTTTGCAAGCCTTCATAGAATCATAATTTGTATCTTCAACTACCCTTCGACCCCTCGAGCTTTTGCCTTTGAAGATGTTGAAAAGAGAGAAAGAACCATCTGAAGATTTCTTCTGCCTGTTGTTTCCGGCCATTTTTACAGGAGAGGTACAGACAATGTATTAACCTAGAAGGGTTTTTGAGGGGATTAAGACTAAGTTGTTTTTTGATTTCCCAATGGCTATGAAGCTGTGGTATTTATAGTACGTTTGTAAAGGATTTCAGGGTGGAGAATCTACTTAGCTGAAGGCCATCGATCTGATTGATGGCTGTGATTAAATGAAATGAAATCACAAATTCTGATTGTAATAACATATAGACCGTTGATTCCAAAGTTGGCTAAACATATTTAATGGGGTTTTTTTTTAAGAAAAAAGTTGCCTTTTTTAATCAGTGGGTGATTCTTGAAGCACGAAATTCCAGTCTATATTCTTACAAGTCCATATTATTCACCTTTTGATTTCAAATCAAAATGACTAATGACTAATTAATGTCATTAGCAACGCACGTATATATATATATATGAAAATTGGACGTTCAGTTAAGTTTGCCTCTTAAATTATCTTTCAAGGTAAAAGAAAGCAGAATAAAAGATTATTTTGCTATTATGTCATAGAAGTTATCTTTTGTTTTTACATAATGTAAGATTGGATTTAGTTTGACTTGTAACGTCTTGCAAATTATTGATTAAAGTCAGGTGTTTGGAAGCATCTTTAAAAGTGTACTCACTGCATTTACTATAATCTTATTTAATTGATTGTGAGATTATAATTGGATGAAACGAAAAAATCTTGGCATGAAGAATCAAATAAAGTTAGATATAACTTACAAAAATCATAGTTCAAGACGGCCAATTAAATAAAAGAAAGTTGGTGCAGAACCTTTGGGCTTTTTCAAAGGACTCTTTGAAGGAACCATGGAAATTTTGTGACCTTCCGAATGGTGCCATCTAGAATTTGCATTGCAAAAGATCGAATCCTTCAAAACATAATGTTCATTACCATTTGTTTCTCAAACTTTAATTTTAATCACACATTTTATAGGATCTATAAATTTTATCAACTTTTCAATCACACATTTTATGAACTTTTATCAAAATCTATTAAAATCTTATTTTTAGTTAAACCACGCAGGGGCTCAAGCGGTTGCTTAAATGTTCTTTAAACTACCCTTATTCCTGATATATATTTACATTACATAAAATATATTCTATTGATATACCGCAATGCACAAAATTTAACTCTACATCTAATATAGCAACTCGAGCATAACTGTACAAATCCTATTGTAAATTAAACTTTTGTAAACGTGATAATTATTATCTACTTAGTGTAAAAGTGATTAAAAAACCAAAAGAATAAAAAGAAACCTTTAGGGAATCTTTTGAATGTTTGGATTCACGCATATAATTGGCTTCTAAGAGCCTTTTTACTGAAAGAACATTATAAAATTAAATAAAGCTTAACACGATTTCCTTTGAAGCTTCCAACATTGCCTTCAAGCTGTCTTTAGATTCTTAAAAAATTCTAATATAAGAGCCAGAGGTTGTGTCTCCCTCCAACTTGTACTTCAATCTACGGAACTCATATAATCATGGTCCATTTGCTTTAAGAATATTTCTATATTTGAATAGCTAGGACATACATGTAGCGTGTTATTGCTGTCTCCACATTAATTAATTAATTAAATTAATTACTCTAATTATCTTAGCTAGAAAGTGTTATGAATTCCACGTTAAAGCAATGTCTTACACTTTGAGGCCTTACGCCTCCCGCTTCTCGGAAGGAGACCTTCGCCTTCCACCTAAAATACGCAAGAAATGCCCAAATTCTCCTAGGGATCACAATGAAGTTTCATAGGATCTTCTAGTCTTGGGGCAGGTAGTTTACATCTTTACGGATATGTCTATTTTATCGAGCCTTTCATTGAGACAATGCTCACATTGTTACGCCTTTC